ATGAATCAAAGGTATATTTTCAGGTGTAACGATGAAAGTCTTCTATATTTCGTAACTTTTAGGATTCCGAACCTCGAAAGGAGCCCTTATAGGATCATTTTGTTGTCCGTCCGCCCGTCTGTCAAGACCCTTTTTCTCAGGAACGCGTGGAGGTATCAAGCTGAAATTTATATCAAAATTTCAGGTCTACTGTCCCTTGGCTCTGTGAAAAAAATCAAACTTCTAGACCAACGCAATCAAAAGATACAGCCGTTTATGCCGCATATTTCCGCAAATTTTCGAAACTCGCAAGGGAATCAAAATCTTACAGGGTACTTCCCGTAAACTCAGAATCTTGAAATTTGGTACGAAGCAAGTACGAGAAATTGCAAAAACCGTAATTTTTTAGGTACATCCCATATATATTTGTTTAATAATTATTATATAACTACAGGTATGTACGGAACCCTCGGTGCGCAAGTCCGACTCGCACTTGGCCGGTTTTTTTTAAAAAGAGCGGCAAATTAGCTTTATAGCCTGTCTAATGGAAAGCGCGGCCACTAAAGCCTTTAGGCACTTGCGATACTAAAAACCAGGGATGTTACGGAGCTTCGACTCTAGTTTCGTTAAGTCGGAACTTCCGATTATTATTACACCTACGGTTCCGATTTCGGTTCCGAAACTTTTAAATCGGAGGTTTTAATCGGAGGTCGAAACATATCAAATAACGACGGCGGCGGCAGCAGCCTGCGTCAACCGTTATGAATTGATTCATACCCGTCGCGTTGAGAGTCTGTGATAATAATAAGTAAATTTAAATGAAAAAAGGTTATTTTATAATTAAAATTAAAAAAGGTTGACTGAATGAGGTTTTTATTTTTGCTTAAATGCAAAAATATCTCTCTTTTGATCACTTCTGACTCTGCTTCTGACCCCGACTCTGCCTCCGACTGCGGTTCCGACTTCGGTTCCGAAAAATTTACCTCCGTTACATCCCTGCTAAAAACATCACTCGCACGGTCGCCTACCCTGACCCAAAACCCTACCCTGTGGAACCCCGGAACCTTGCTCACCGACAAAAACACAACACCACCCAAAGGTAGTGTTATTCTACTGTGATCTTCTATTAGATGTAGGTTACTTCCCCATAGGGATGTGCGATCCGGGTCGTCGATCCGATTTTTCGGATCGTAATGGATCGTAATGCTACGATCCGATCCACGGATCGGATCGCATGCCGTCGATCCGATCTTCAAGAAATCGGATCGGATTGGATACAATAAATAAGACAAAAATATTTTAGATTTTTATTTGGTAAACCTATCAATAATCGTCACACCTAATCAGGTACAACTTTTGTTTATAATAATAGAATGTATAAGATTAACGGATCCACCTGCAAAGAATGCCGCCAAGTTAAAATGTAAACAAAGATAAAGTTCGTAACAGAAACCTTAGTAAGTACCTACCCAATTTATTGTAAACAAACCGCGTTTTAATTCATACGATCCAAGCGGATCTTTCAAGTTTTGTAACGATCTGGCAAAAAATCGTATGGCCTCGATCCGATCCGAAAATTACCGGATCGTATGCCTTCCGATCCGATCTTTCAAATGATCGGATCGGATCGGCGCATCCCTACTTCCCCAGATGGGCACGGGGAATTTAAATGTTATGCTACAAAAGCTGGAGATAATGAATTTGTTGACCAATTCGATGATAAGGCTGATGTGAATGCGTGATACGAACACTTATTATAATGTATCTCAGACGTTCTTGAAAATGTTTGATTGATTCAAAATGTTCTCCTTTTCTAGTTTATTAAAATTTTAATATCAACAAATTACAAGGCATAATTATTGCAGACTTTGCAAATGCATGCTTATATGTATATACATACATTTTCGTTTTGTACAAAATTCTCTAATTAAGCTAATTTTAAAGTCCTACAGTATTAATACATTCAGACAAAAATTTTGGTAATTGTAAAAGTTTTTTTTTTATTAAATATATACTGAGTAAAGCCAATAAAGGTACTATTCCGTGCACACGGACCTGAAAGTGCATCGTGATCGATCACGGCCTACGACTGTCGTCGGTCGCTCGCGACAATAGTATGAAAATGTATGGCACCGCTTCCGAGGCCCGCGACAGTAGACACACGTCCAGAGGGATCTGCCGAACAACACCGACTAACTTTGAGACACGGCCGCGCGCGGCCGACGACTGCCGTGAGCCGTGACACACGTCTAGACGTGTGTCTACCGAAGTCAAAATCATGGTCGAAGTGCTAATTAATATTCTTGAAAAAGAAGAGGTGGATGACGACCTGCTGTTGTTATATTATGAAAAAAGAGAACCAATCGACCCTATCTTTAAAAGCAGAAATAAAGAAGGATACTACCAAATATTGATTCAAAAGCATTTGTATTATGATGAAAAAAAAAGATTCGGAAGTTTTCTCCTGCGTTCCTAGACAAGTTTGCGCCATGAAATCGAAGATGTTACTGAGCGCTGAGCATGTCGAGACTCGAGACACGCACGGCCACGCGCGGCACACGACAGGCGTCGGGCGCGCGCGTCTGTCGCGAGCCTCGGAAGCCGTGCTCTACATTATCATACTATGACTATTGTCGCGAGCGACCGACGACAGTCGTGCGATCGATCGCGATGCATGGAATAGTACCTTAAAGTTGAGAGTACAAATCGATAGTACTTTAGAGCAGTGTAAAATCCCGGTTCGGTTTATGATCGTCTCCGGTGGTAATGGATTACTGAGAGTCTTTCAATCGATAATTCTTGAAGGAACTTCCAGCAACTTTGTGTATGTGACAATGTAATCTTTTAATTGGATGTTAGTGTTAAACGTGGGTGGGTTTTAATGTAGCATGTGTTCATGTTTAGACATGTAGTCGGGAATTTAAAATTGTGGAGGAAATGAAATGAAACATATTTTATTGGAACAAAGAAAGTGAATATAATAAATGGGCACGATAATAACTGCATTAGTTATAAAAACTATTAACGCCCACAGTTGCGACACAGTTTTTATAACAGAGACTACATTGATGTTCCTTAAGATACAAAAAACAAACAAAATATGTATTTTATTAGAGTAAATTTAAAAAACAGAATTTAAATTTAATTTACCATACTTAAATTAACAAATCATTTATATATGTGTATTTATAGTATTTTACGCGCGCGCATGTGTGTGTGTGTGTGTGTGTGTGTATATGTGTATGTGCGTGTGTGTATGTGTGTGTGAGTCTGCGAGTGTGCGTGTGTGTGTGTGTATGTGTGAGTGTGTGTGGGTGTGTGTGAGTGTGTGTGTGTGTGTGATTGTGGGATATGTGGGAAATTACCGCTATTTAAAATAAGCTCACTTTGTGATGTGTTTTAGCGTACGAACAATACGCTCACTGACCTACTTATTGTGACCAATAAAACTCACTGATTTCTTCTATTAAACCAATAATAATTGTAAAACTGGTACTTTGCTACTAATAATAATAAATAAAATATATCACATAGTAGAGAATATTTAATTAAATAACCTTCACGCGGCCAAAATTTAATTCATATCATCTTCATCCGTCCACAACCTGTGCGATTTGGTCGTTATTTTTTACCACGTACGACAAAATTGTGGAATACATTGGTGTCGAGTCTGGCATTGTTAACCTAACATTTAAATTAAATTTGACAACAGTGTACCCTTGTCATTCTCTTTAAGAATAAAAAGGAGAGACTGGCGTTAAATTTAGTTTTAATTTCGGAGAATCATGCCAGAATTGACACCATTGTCGCCAGACCCCTCTTACCCAGTGGGCACTTTGGGCAAGTGCCCAGGGCCTCGCGATCGATAGAGGCCCCCCTCAGATCAAATACAAAGTCCCTAATTCATGTTAAATCACCAAACGGGTGTCCAGTAATATGCCCAGGGCCTACAATAGGTCAAAGACGGCACTGATTGTCGCTATGCAGTGTTTGCGGCCAAATACGACCCGAAATACTTCAAAAAAAAAAGCGTACTCCTTAAGAAGTACTCTCTTTTAGGAGGAGGAGCAGGCCAGCCCTGCTTTTGCGATACTCACCATCAGGTGAGACGTCTGCTCGTATATTTATGGGCCCTAAACTGTAATAACAAAAATGAACGCCGCAATTCCAGCGGAAAAGACGCGGAGCTCTTAGCGCTCTTTGCATATCTTGAAGTACAAAGTGAACTTATAATTTTCTTTTAATGTTAGCGCCGAGCGTAACTTCCCGTCCCCACTTATAATTAAGTAGATTTATATTAATGGACTTTGAACGAGTAATTGATACGATAAAATTTCCCAAATTGTATTAATTAGGTAAAATCTTTTCTGTTCGAATTAAAGTGTAGATTGGAGTAGGTATTGACTTTTCTATAAGTGGAAAAGAATATTGCCGGCGTGCAAAAATGCTTCTTCACGCCTGTCTTAAAGGGCCCCACATTGTAGGAAGGAGAGAACATGTGCGCGGGCAAAGAATTCCATTTACGAATAGTATGACAAAGAAAATATGAATTACCAAATTTATTTGTTCGTGTAGGAAAAGTGGCCACAGATTTGCATCCCAATCAAATCTAGGTCAGTAACGAATGCCTGTATATGGCTACAAGAAAAACAGTAGATGCAGAGGCGTACTTTTTTCGTCCCAATATCCCTATTGCAGCCATAGGAAAGGCCTGTGCCCCAGTAGTGGGGACATTAATAGGCTGATGATGATGATGATTTTGACAAATTGATTCGCGGGTCACTTCGGGTGCTTCCAGAAACTACCAGTGGTCCGCGGACGATCTAGATTATAAATGAACTTACCCCCTCCGTATCCTCAACGACGTGCGGTAAATATAATCGTGCAGTAAAAATTATCTTACCCCCGCCGTATCCTCAACGATGTGCGGTAAATATAATCGTGCGGTAAAAATTATCTTACCCCCGCCGTATCCTCAACGATGTGCGGTAAATATAATCGTGCGGTAAAAATTATCTTACCCCCTCCGTATCTTCAACGACGTGCGGTCCCAGAGAAGCAAGCGTGCTCCATTTGCAAGATGGCGGTGCTCGTGACGCGCAACGCTTGTGAGCTTTGTACTTGCAGAGTTCGCAAGCGAGTGCGTGAGCGGTGCCAAGCGCGCCGAGCGGTTCGCGGCACACGTTGCAGAAGGTAGGCCGAGCGTGGGTTGCTGTGTACCTGAGGATTTTGTGGGTACACTTAGTTAAATGCAGTTTTTTTAGCTATATAGGTAGTGGATAATGAAATTTCTGGTCATTTAGAAGAGTCTGTTTACAGAAGACTGCAGTCAAATAGCAAATGTGCCGAGTGTAGGTATAGGTTTACGTTTGAATTAAGCTTAGTGGAGATGGCGTGGTTCGCGTCGGACTTGTACGAGAACATCAATAACGCATCATAATAATTCTTCTCAATTATTGTGGCTATTAAATTTATGCCTAAAGATGATTCTGGATTACACTTAACTGTGTGGTTTAAATTCCTAATAAATGAGTGAATGCCAAATGATTCTCTGCGAAATTAAGTTGATGTTATACGTTGAAATGCATATTAAAGTTAAAAGATTAAATGCATGTGATAAACGGTAGACTCCTCGAGAGCAGGTGTACTTCTCCATCTCACCTCGATTGTTTCGTATAACACCATATGACCAGCTATTATTTATCGCTTTTACTGGAGTACTGGAAATCTCATTAACACGTACCAATGGTGGTCTCCTGACGACAATCGCGCCACCATGTCGGCGACGTCGGTGCCGTGGTGGTGCAACGCGTCACGATTGGCTGTTACCACTCATAATAGTCACCTCAGTAACACGTACCAATGGTGGTCTCCTGTCGACAACTGCGCCATCAGGTCAGCAACATCGTCACCGAGGTGCAGCGCGCCACGATTGGCTGTTATCACTCATACTAGTTACCTCAGAAACACGTACCAATTATGGTCTCCTGGCGACAACCGCACCACCATGTCGGCGACGTCGTCGGCGCCGTGGTGGTGCAACGCGTCACGATTGGCTGTTACCACTCATACTAGTTACCTCAGTAACACGTACCGATGGTGGTCTCCTGTAACCTTGGTACGAGTTTGAGCTCACAAAAACTATCATAGTTTTCGTAATTGTAAATTATGTTTCTATGTCCATTTTGGTGTAAAGTAACCAAATAAACTTAAAATTTAAGAAGACGCAAATGATTTCATGATATAATTTAAACATTGTTTATTTGTATTGAAACGAAAACAATAAAATTAACGAGTGCGAGCTCACGAAAACTATCATAGTTCTCGTAATTGTAAAACTCATACTAAGGGTACTGACCACAACCACGTCACCAGGTCGGCGATGTCGGCACCGCGGTGCAGCGCGCCACGATTGGCTGTTACCACTCATACTAGTCACCTCAGTAACACGTACCAATGGCAGTCTCCTGACGACAACCGCGCCACCAGGTCGGCGACGTCGGCACCGCGGTGCAGCGCGCCACGATTGGCTGTTAACACTCATACTAGTCACCTCAGTAACACGTACCAATGGTGGTCTCCTGATGACGACCGCGCCACCAGGACGGCGACGTCGGCGCCGCGGTGCAGCGCGCCGTGATTGGCTGTTATAACTCATAGTAGATACCTCAGTAACACGTACCAATGGTGGTCTCCTGACGACAACCGCGCCACCAGATCGGCGACGTCGGCACCGCGGTGCAGCGCGCCACGAAGCGCACCCGCCCACGACTCCATTTCGCCGCGACTGTCCGCGCACAGCACTAGGCAGCGACTCGCTGTTATCACCTGGAAATAAGGTGCACTTTAGAACATAAATCGTAAAAGTATGAGACGCTGTGTTAAGAGCGGCCGCTAGCTGAGAAACGTTTGAGAAATAGGTATTTGAAAAAATTTCTACTGTCACGCATTGGCAAATGTGGGAAAAAGAAAGTTTTGAGAAACTAAAAAACTAACTTCTATGAAAAAATTTTTTTATTTAATCTTTTCACAGAACTCTCCACCAGCCTATACAAAGTTTCATGCATCTTAACCAATTTTCAAAACATTTTTTACAGTCCTTCACAGACACCCCTTCTACGGCCTTTTCAAACGCTGCTAGCGTTTCTGCCGGCAATGAAAACTGTATCCCTTTAGCTGATTTTTTATTTTAGGGAATAAAAAGAAGTCACACGGAGCCAAATCTGTAAGGAGGGTGTCCCAAGACTCTGACTGGTGTGGAATCCAGGAAGTCCTACGTTTTGATCGCAGGGTGCGCGGGCGCGTTGTCGTGGTGAAGAAGGACCCCGCGGAGCCCGATGTTAGGTCGCTTATTGCTCATTCCGCTTTCATATTCACATCGATGATATCGTAAAAAAAAGTTTTAAGATTCTCGGTTTTGTGTTAAGAAACTGTAGACAATTCACGAACCCTAAAACAAAAGTCACCATATACACGGCCTTAGTTCGCAGTAACCTTGAATATTCTAGTATAGTATGGAACCCCAATTACGATATCTATGTCAAAAGAATTGAACGTGTCCAGAAGCGATTTTTATGGCATTTGTCGTTTGGATGCAACATGGCGAAAAAACTGCCTAATTATGTCGACAGGCTTCGCCACTTCAATTTGCAGTCACTGGAGTGTCGCAGACGTTTGTTGGATCATATGTTTCTGTACAAGCTAGTGAACGGCATCTTTGACACACCTGACCTTTTATCTAAAATCAACTTTCGCATACCGTCGCGACTCCCTAGGCTTACGACTTATGCACCCTTTATGGAGAGACTCTCTCGTTCGCGCCATGGTCGCTACTCACCGCTGAATAGGTTGATGATAGCTTACAATGGCTTGCACAGAAGCATTGCTCAAAATCATTCTAGTAGAATCAAATGTGGATTACCACAGCATGCTCATGAGCATGATTCACAATTAATTGATGTCGACATTTTCTCTAATTCTCTTAAATATTTCCAAAATAATGTAAAAAAAATACTAGATTTGACGTAGGTATTTGCTGGTGACTGTAAATGTAAATGTTTATTATGTTTAATTTTGATTATTATAACATCAATTTCCATTAATTTACAATATTTTGTGACATTTTACCGAATAATGATATAATTTTAATGAAATGTTTTTAATTTTAGTATATTTTTTTTTTTATATTTTACTACTATTTCACATCAATAGAAGATTTTTAAATAGTGTGATTTTGTTATGCGATATTTTTGCTCATCAGTGCTATTGTGTAACATCTATAATTAAGATTGCACTTAGTTCGCTTCCACATTGTTTGTAAGTTGCTTTATAATGAGTTGGTGTTAATCTTGTTGATGTTAATAAATAAATAAATAAATAAATAAATTGCAGAAAAACTTCTGGCAGGCATTTTTTGCTATTTACCATTACCATACCATTCGGCGTTGTTGCTGCTTTGGTATCGAAGTAGAATTGAAATTAGAAACCCCGTCAACGTGAAGAAACTTGCGATCAAAATTTTCCCTGCGTTCCTCAATCGCTTCACTTTCGTAGGCGTTAGTTCATTTTGAAACAGCCAAACTGTCGACTGACGCTTTGTTTCTGGATCGTATTGATAAATCCAGGATTCGTCACCTGTCACAATATCATAAACGCGCCGTGACGAGCCTGCATCAAATTTTTGTATCATATCATTGCACCATCCTGCTTCTGAGCTTCAGTGAGGTTGTGCGGCACCCAGCGGGAAACTATCCTCCTTACGCAAAGGTCCTCGTGCAAAATCTTGTGAACACTTCCTAAACCAATCTGCAGAGTATGCTGAATCTCATACGTAATTCATCTGTTTTCTTGAATTTATTTTTTTAACTGCCAGCACACTTTCTTCGGTGACAGCCGTCGTAGGACGACCACTTCTTTGTTCATCCCCCAAAGTAAGACGATCGCGTTTGAACTCGCTACATCAGCGGTTCAAAGCAGTTCGAAATCGATCAAATGATTCATCAGGTTTACATTTAAAATCGTAAAAAATCATAGCACGAAAATGTTCTCAATGTAGATCCATTTTAAATGAGAAAAGAAGTATTTTATTGGCTTTCGAAAAATTGCGGAGGGAAATTTGAAAATCGAACAGTGGTATTTTTACTTTTAAATAATCGAAGTTTCCAAAATAATAACAAGTGGCCAGTGCCTTATAAAAACTTGTTTTCGCAAAACTTTCTGAGTGACCTGGTACAATGCGGTAGGGACAACAGTAGTTAACGCTGGGAATTGCGTATAAAATTATTGCAAATAATTATTGCAAAATTGGAGGTGTGGCACTCGAAGATTTATTTCTCGAAAATTAGGTATATGTAAAAGAAATTCTATCCATGTAATAATAAGTAGTTACACTATGCCTCTATGTTCTGCTTTTTTTGTAAATGCTTATAACAGCTCCACACTAGACGTCTTTAGTGGTGATATAAAATTGTTTATTTTTGGCATTTTAGAGGGCTTCTAGTTTCTTTGAAATACAAGTTATCGAAAAAAGGCAGACATAGGAGCATACAATCAGTATAATTATATTTAATGTCTGTAAATCAATTCTTTAGTGATAAAATTCAAGGAGGAATTAAACGAGAACGTTTGAATGGAAAAAGCCCGCCACCATTTTTAAGCGGGAGCACGGAGCGGACGTCCGCTGCGCGAGTTTCATGTCGTTACATAGAGCAGCACTGCGGCTCGAGAACATGATAAATATATCCGATGCTGTCAAGTTTACATAAACGGATAGCCACATGAAGTCCTAGTATAATTTACAGACAGTAAAATGTTGCAGGTGTGTTGATTTTCCACCGCATAAACGTTGATCCATGTCGCCATACAGCCAGTGTCTATGGACATTTCGTAGGCACTGGCACATTCGAAAATGAGTTTTTAATTGTTTTTATAATTATGTTCTTTTTATATTTTCGGATTGATATATAGCTAGTCATTTTTAAAGGCCTTCAAGAGAAAATTTCGTTCGTCCGTATTATATTTTTATAGTTGTGAATATTTCTGCATATAGTGCTCATAAGTTGACAAAGTATTGCCGTATTATTATTCCGCTAGTAGGGAAAAGCGGTTAAACATCCTCAAACAGGTTTAGAATATTGTAAAAAACAATCTGCTGCTGCTGGGCTGCGTATAACACTAAGTAATCAAATCACCCAGCATTGTTTTCAACTAGAATCACAGAAGGCAAATATTTTTTAAATTACCTCCGAAAACAAACGTACCTCTAGTATTAACATATTAACTGCCGTGCAATCCTCACCCGAGTTCTCTTAAATTACCGCTTTTTTTTTGTTGATGGTGGAAAATCCATTTACGGACCATACCGCGCGCTTGGCAGGCGCGCGACGTGTGTGGGACTCCCCGACGTGGAACAACGCCGGTCCTACCCACTGAAAACCACCGGTACCCTCCTCGGCCCTTATGAGGGCGCTCTGGGATCGCCACTACACCAGAGCGTCCCCGGGTCTCTTAGTGTCGCCGCACACGGGCCACTGACCACAACAACAAAACGCCGCCACCGGCATATTTCTTGTAGTTTTCAGACATTATAAATGGACTCGCCACATACGGTACGCCGGTGGCCGCCACACGCAACAAAAGGTCGTTGTTCGCTTCTTGTGGCCCGCACCGGCCACTTAATGCGCCGATACAAAACGCCGCCACACGTCACTCGCGCGATTCCCCACCCCTGTGGCTTCAGCCACATTAGTAGCTGCTTCTAGCTTCTCGTGGCGGCGTTTGTGGCTGTAGCGTGTGGCCCGTGTGCGGCGACACTTAGATGACCTAAAGTAACATAGAATAGTACAGAAAAATATACTAAGACGAGATGACGACTTAACATACGAATCTCATAACCAAACGCCTGTAAATATCCCATCGACATTTAGGTACCTACAGCTTCAACTGAGGTGACATAAGTTACAAACTATATTTCGAGATCAAATTGATTAAATTTTCTGCTTGCAAAATTTTACGTAGGCAAAGTCAATTAACTCCCATTACGCAAATTCACCATGCTGTAGAGTATAAATTTCCATTGGAAATACTTTCATAACCATAACTTGAACGCAATTAATAGACGCAAATACCACTTAGTTCTAAGTGCTTTAAAATAACACTTTTAACTTAGGTAACACACGGCTGCATTAATTAAATTTATGTTTAATTAAAGTCACGTGTGGCCTTATATTATTTTCCTTGCAAGACACACAGCATCAACTGTAAATGAACTTACAAGTTAGAGATAAAAGATGTCTCTTTATGCGGGCATCAGATAAGAATAAACATTTATGACAAAGAATATGGTATACATAATTTGAAGACAATACTGTTTTTTTGTTAACATATTCTACCATCTGGCACTCGAAGACTTATTTCTCAAAAAATAGACATATAGGTATGTAAAAGAAATTTTATCAATGATATAATAAGTAACTATACTATGCCTCTATGTTCTGATTTTTTGTAAATGCTTATAACAGCTCCACAGTAAACGTCTTTAGTGGTGATATGTGATATAGAACTTACAAGTTAGAGATAAAAGATGTCTGTTTATGCGGGCATCAGATAAGAATAAACATTTATGACAAAGAATATGGTATACATAATTTGAAGACAATGCTGTTTATTTTTTGTCAACATATTCTACCATTTAAATGGCATACCTAAGTAATACCTATATTAACTACTTTTTCCCGTAACTATCTAGATAAGCATCTGTACCCCTAGCACGAACCAAT